TTAGAAAAACTACAATCAGGGTGTTCCTTACAGGCAAGGAGGCGAGACTTAGTCTTACATACTTTGGACATATTGTCACTTCAAAAGGACCTCATGCTTGGTAAAGTGGAGGGGCGTCCAAAATGAGGAAGGCCCCCGATGAGATGGATGGATACGGTGCCTGCAACAAGGGGCTCAGGCATCGGAATAATTGTGAGGATGGTGCAGGATCATGAACCGTTTCATTCTGTTCTGCACAGCGCCACTATGGGTCAGAACCAACTTGATGGCACCTAACAACAGCAGCAACATAATCATGGTGACAGCTGCCATGAAGTCGACTCCAATTCACAGAGGTCTTATGTGTTGCCAGAAAAAAATGTTGCCTGCCCTGACCAATTTTCCTGATTGGGAGTCTACTGCACTGCACTGTTTCAGTTACGGTGCCAATCGAACTCACTGAGGGTCTCTTTCACCCTGGAAAACATGATATCCTCCCCCAATTGATCCCTCCTGATGACTGGTGCAAAGCAAGGGAGTCCAACAGTGTTCTGTTGTGATCCACAAGGTTTTCTGTGGCTAATTTTTGGGAATAGATTGTTGTGCCTTTCTGCTTAGTCTGTCTTAGTCTGAAAGCTGTACAGAACCCTGTCCACCATGTGTGACCCTGCTGGTATTTACGACAGCATCGCTTCTAGCATCACAACAACACACAAGCCACCACAGTGTGACAAAGTGACAGATGGCTAGTGAAGCAGAGAGTTATAGCATGCTTAAATGCACAAAAAGAAAAAGTCCCGGGTTGCCATCAACAGTTTGTGCTTGACTATTCACCTAAAGGTTGGCTTTTCAAACCCCACACAGCACTTAACAAAGAAGAAGCCCTTTTGAGTCGCTTCAATTAAAATTACAGCCATTGTTTTCTAATGTGCCAAACATGGCTCCACACATAGGGACTAAGGTTCTTACAGCCATGCCACCATTTTAAAAGTGCAGCAGTCTTATCAGGGAGCTCGGAGTTCAGCAGTTTGAAACCATCAGCCGCTCCTCGGAGAAAAATAAGGCATTTTACTCCCAGAAAGAGCTACATATATTCTTGGAAACCCACAGGAGCAGTTCTGCTCTGTCCTATATGGTTGCTAAGAGTCAGCATTGACTCATTGGCAGTGAGTTTGGTTGTTGTTGTTGTTGTTGTTGTTGTTGTTGTTGCTTTAACAGTCCTTTCAAGAGGTGTAAAGAAGCGCTTAGCAACCTTGAACTTCATCGGCGGCATCTGGCCCTCTCAAAGACAATGTTGCTCTTCTCTCATGGTCTTCAGTCCCAACACGGGAAGGTGGTCATTTCAGAAACAGGAGGACCTTCATGACTGAAGGCTAGGGAGCCTGAGCTCAGTGGCCGTGTGAATCACTGTATCACTGTAACGTTAAGGAAGCTCTGGGGGCACAGCTGTTTACCACTGCTAACCACAAGGTCAGCTCACAGCAACCAGCATGACAAGATGTTTGGTCAGAACTATTATGAGCTTAAGTTTCGTGAGAAACAAAAAAAATTTAAAATTTCATTCACAAGCAATAAATTTGAAAATAGTACGTTTCACAGAAAATGTAAACTCCTCCCAAGTCTAGAAAGAGTGGGTTGATCCTGCCATCTTGTGATGAAATGATCAACGCCCTCTCCGTTTTTTCAAAATCTCAAAAATGGTCTTCCTGCAGCTAAACCTTGAAATCGGTTTTGAATGTGCGGGGAACCCCTCATGCAGGACCGTTCTCTTCTGACGTAGGTGGGGTCACCGTGAGCATCTCCTGGTCCGCCCCCCAACCCCCGTGGGCAGTGCTGAAGGAGGGGAGGAGCAAGGGGGCACGTGGTCCCCCACGTCCTGTGTCAACGGTCCCCCCTTCTCGGTTTGTGATGGACATCCATGTTTCCACAGGAGTGACTGTCGAACTCAACCGCAATGGTTTTGTGGGGTGAAGACGTGAAAGACACCACCCAAAACCCAACTTTCTCCGAGTGGACTCTGACTTCGCAGCCATAGGACTGAGTAGAGCTGCTCTGCGTGTGGTTTCTCAAACTGTCCATTTCCTGGACAGACCGTCTCACCGCTCCCCTCGGGTGGTGGGCGGGACAAACCAATGAATTGTAGGTTCACAGTCCTATGCTTAACCCACTGAACCACCAGGAATCTTTAAGGGGTGTCAGATCCTTGCGTCGTTGTTTCCCGTATGCTTAGTGTCCTCCATCACAGAACAGACCGTGCTCACCTTCCCACGAGACTGTCATCACCTCTGCAGAAAGGGTGGGCTGGATGGGACCCGGTGTGCTAAAGGGAAAACCATGTCCAATGGCTCCTGAACCCTCTAATTTCTGGCCAGGGGGTTGTTGGGATCCTCGACGGTAACTTCATCTGTCGGAGCCCCAAGTGGAGTGGGTGACAGGTTGGGTTGTTGGAGCTGGTCAGCATTTGGAAACCACCAGCCGCTCCCTGGGAGTGGGTCTCGGGTACTTCTATCTTGCCCTATCAGGTTAAGGTGGGTAGTAATCATCCTGAAGGCAGTGAGGGGAGTTGAACCTCATCGCTAGAAGTAACTGCTCACGCATTCCATAGATTTAAATACATCATCTGAAGAGAAGCATCGGTCGTAAAACAAGACTAATTTGTAAGTAGAATTTACTCTGCTAAGAATTATGAGAGAGTTTTCTATCACCGATTCCCCTGTTTTGTGTCTAGACAGAGATCCCCACCCTTTCACGTGTTCACCATTCCTGCTGTCTCCTTCTGGGGCTACTCCTCCATCTAAAAAGGCAGGGGTTACTAAATAGAGTCTGATATGTTTCTATGGAGCTCAAAATGAAAACAGTACTCTCTTTATAACACGCTTTATACAAATAACATTAGCCTTCAGAAAGAAGACAGTGGGCGTATTGGATTTTCATCTGGAATTTCCTAAGATGATCCAGTACATGTTTGGAAGGGAGCCCTGTTCCGTTTCGTTTCTACGAATCCCATACCAAAGAGTTCAAAGAAAACCCTCTTTTAGTGCCAGTGGCAAAGGGGCCCAGAGCCCCCTCACAGAGTTGTATCTGTAAACCTTTGAAGCCCTGGCTTCACAGTACCTGCCTCTTCAACACAGGTGCTAATTCCTGCACTGAATAAGTGGCTGAATGCATTGGGTACAAGCAGCCTGTCAGTTCCTCCAGTAGCAAACAATAAATGAATCTGAAGAAGTTCTGGTGAACGAATCAGAAGGGGAGCTTTGTCTCTGAGCTTGGCAGGGCCCACCTCGTGCCTTGTAAATGTCAATGTGTGTACGTGTGAGCCTCTGACATTACTCAGCAGCACATACCAAAGCCCAAGGATTTGGCAGAGGCGGACTGATTAGAATGCCTAAAAATATTTCATTCTATCAAAATCCATTCTGGTGATTTTCAGCCTATGAGTAAAACGCTAGAACAGCAAGATCCTTCACAAATGGGAATTCTGACAAGCCTTCCAAATACCTAAGCTCGTTGTGTAAGAAGTAACACTTCAGCTTAAGTTCTGGCTCTTTGTCTGTTTTCTTATCACAACAGGATTTTCCCGACAAACCATGTATGGTGATGCTCTCTCATTTATGAACATTTATACAATGTGATCAAATGTAATAACGATTGAGAACCTATTACATCCTATGCACCTTGTTGGGCCCTAGTGGGAATAGAAGTTCGAACTAGTTACAGTTAATGGATTTGAAGTGTGGAAAGAGATGAGATCTTTTTTCTTCTTTTTTTTAAATCATTTCATTGGGGGCTCATACAACTCTTATCACAATCCACACACACATCAATTGTGTATGCACATTTGTACATTCATTGCCCTCATCATTCTCAAAACATTTACTCTCCACTTAAGCCCTTGGCATCAGCAACACATTTTTCCCCTCCCTCCCATTCACCACTCCCTCATGAACCCTTGATAATTTATAAATTATTTTGTCATATCTTACACTGTCCGATGTCGCCCTTCACCCACTTTTCTGTTGTCCATCCCCCAGGGAGGAGGTTATATGTAGATCCTTATAATCTGTTCCCTATTTCCACCCCACCTCCCCTTCCATCCTCCTGGTATTTCCACTCTCACCACTGGTCCTGAAGGGATCATCCATCCTGGATTCCTTGTATTTCCAGTTCCTATCTGTACCAGTGTACTTCCTCTGGTCTAGTCAGATTTGTAAGGTAGAATTGAGATCATGATAGTGGTGGGGGGGTTAGGGGAGGAAGCATTTAGGAACTAGAGGAAAGTTGTATTTTTCATCGTTGCTACAGTGCATGCTGACTGGCTCATCTCCTTCCCAAGACCCTTCCATAAGGGGATATCCAGTTGCCTACAAATGAGCTTTGGGTCCCCAATATGCACTCCCCCTCATTCACAATGATATGAGTTTTTGTTCTTTGATGACTGATAACTGATCCCTTCAACACCTCATGATCACACAGGCTGGTGTGCTTCTTCCATGTGGGTTTTGTTGCTTCTGAGCTAGATGGCCACTTGTTTACCTTCAAGCCTTTCTGACCCTGACCCTAGATGCTATATCGTTTGATATAGCCTTCCAAATACCTAAGCTCGTTGAGAGCTCCATCAGCTTTCTCTTTACCACATTTGCTTATGCACCCACTTTGTCTTCAGCGATTGTGTCAGGAAGGTGAGCATCATGGAATACCAGTTTAATAGGACAAAGTATTTTTGCATTGAGGGAGAACTTGAGTGGAGGCCCAATGTCTGAGATGAGATCTTTTCTAAGAGCAAATTATTCTAAGACAAACACAATCCATGATCCACACTTTAGGAGAGTCATAAGCCAAGGGGATATGAGACAAGGCTTCTTGGTGACATGGCATTGTGATCTGGTGCTTCCAGAGTAGTGTGGGTTTGCCAGGCAGAGATGTCTAGAGGCTTCAGACAGGAAACACCAGGAGTGTACACAGAAACAAAGCCAGCTATTAAAAAAGGAGTTTGGCTGCAGGCAGAGAGGGCCTGGCCTTCTGCCTCAGCCAGATAGTACAGTCTAAGGAGGACATGAGCCTAAGACTGGGCCAGTTTCCATGTCAAACCAAGATGGTGAAAGATAAAGGTATGTATGGATTTTCCTCTTGGCATTTATAAAAAGAAAAGAAGTAAGCAACTTAGAATTTCACAATTCATCAGAAGGATTCCCAGTTAGACTATGCCTGCATTGTGTCTTGTGCTCCCCAGATGTGTCATTTAAAAAGTATTTGTTGGTTTGTTTATGATTCCAGTATATGAAACCCTGGGTACATAAATCTATAAAGACAGTAACTGGACTAATGGCTTAGTGGGAGCATAAGAGGGGAGATTGGAGGGAAATGGGGAGCTAGTAGCAATGAGTACAAGAAGGAAGAAATATTCTGGAATTGATTGTGGTGATAATTGTATTACTCCTTTTTCATATGATTGTACTATTAAAGTATATGGTATGTGAAGTACATGTCAACGAAACTTTTTAAGTGCTTTGCAGAGCTGTTAATTTTAGCTAGAGTAATAAAACTTTATTTTGAAAATATTAAAACTTTTTAAAAAATAAATAAAACTTAAAAAGGAGTATAAGATCATAAAAAACCACATTATCGCCACTGGTATGGTTTTCTTAAACTGGGGGCTATTGCCCCAGGCTAACAGCTCTCACAGCCTCTGCTACCACAGTAGAGCAGACTCTGAGCAAGAGGGGAAATAACATTTTTGCAACAAAGCTCAAGTCACAGAAGTGATCACTTGTGTTAAAAATAAACAAGGCTTACTCCTCCTTTGTTTAATAGCATATTAAACGTATGGCCATCTTTCATTATGACGGGCATTCAACAACATATCATGCTTTCTCTTCTAGCATGCCAAATTCTCCTAATTCTGGCTTTTAGTTTAGGCATCTCCAATGCATGGCAGCTTTAGAAAAGGCGGTAACTCATCTTCTTAGCCATGGCCCCACCCTGAAGTCAGAGAGAGTAAATCCAAGCAGTGTAACATGTTTGTTGACCTTTAGGTTGTGTAACACCTGGGATTGTAAGAGATTTGGGTGACTTGCTCAGGGATCATCTTCATTTTACCTATAACATGATTCCTAAAGAAAGTTTCCTAGAACCTTTGGGAGGAGCTGACTTCCACATTTCTAAGGCCTTGGTCATGGCAACTAAAGTCAAATGACTTCAGACTGTTGGCACTGTTTTCATGAGTATGCTTCATAACCCCGTAAGATACAGTGAAAATCTGGGCATCAGCCTAAATACCAATACCTATAGATTTAGCCAAAACAAACCCACTGGGGTGATGTTGATCTTATATCAGGTTTCCAAGGCTGTACATTCTTGTGACAGACAGCCTCATCTTTCTCTCACAGAGAAGCTGGTGGATTTGGGGTGCCAATCTTGCAGTTTGCTTGCTCATTCCTAATGCTTGTAGACAAGAACCCTATTCTTCCCAGTGAATTGTTCAATCATGCATTCTCCATAAGTTGTGTACCCGCCTACCCTGACACCACCTCATGTCACAACTAAGTTAACGTTGGATAACAAACCACATGGTTGTTAAACTATCACAGTCTCTTCCACATCATATCATCTAATACAGTTAACTGGTTGTGGTCCAGAGTCAGTTCTGAGTCACGGCAACCCCATGTTTATCAGTGTGAAAATGTGCCCCATAGGGTGTTCAAGGTCTGATTTTTTGAAAGTAGATCACCAGACCCTTTGTCCAAGGAGTCTTGGAGTGTACGTGGATCTTTGGGATAACTGCTTAGTACGCACAAATAGATCACAAATATACTGCATGCCTGGTTTTCCCAGCTGTTCACCATCCTCTGTCACACAGCCTTTTATCAACATTCTCTCTATTTCAGTTCATGCAAAGAAAAATCTCAGTAAAATCTCCATTCAGTTCAAATTTTTATGTCATTTAGCACCTAATTTTATAAAGGACTTTAAACATGTCTCATTTCATTTGATGCTTCAAACAATCTTGTGAGATAGACGTAAATACAATTCAGAAAGAAGACAAGTTCTTTTTACCAAACAATTTGCTATGAGAGAGAGCGCGAACCGGCAAATCTATTCTTTCTGTTTCTTTTTTTCTTTTTTGATCATTTTATTAGGGACTTATACAACTCTTTATATTTTTTTAATTGTTTTATTAGGGGCTCATACAACTCTTATCACAATCCATACATACATTAGTTCTGTAAAGCATATTTGTACATTCATTGTACTCATCATTCCCAAAACACCCGCTCTCCACCTAAGCCGCTGGCACCAGGTCCTCATTTTTCCCCTCCCTCCCTGCTGCTCCCTCCCTCATGAACACTTGATAACTTATAAATTATTATTTTCTCATCTCTTGCCCTGTCCGATGTCTCCGTTCACCCACTTTTCTGTTGTCCATCCCCCAAGGAGGAGGTCACATGTAGATCCTTGTAATTCGTTCCCCCTTTCCAACCCACCCTCCCTCTACGCTCCCAGTATCGCCACTCCTACCATTGGTCCTAAAGGGATCATCTGCCCTGGATTCCCTGTGTTTCCAGTTCCCATCTGTACCAGTGTACAT